GTGTGTGTAGTTTCCCATCATGCCACTTTGGGAAGCTGTATGGTCTGATCATGGCTCTGTCTGCAGTGTTTTCTATCCTGCAGTATCCATGCTTTGCCCTGGTGAATGGACCTCTGGATGGAAACCCTTTATATGTACTAAGTACAACTATAAATCTTACTCTGGTCCTTCTCCTCCCTTTATAACCATCTTTATGAACTCTCCTCTCACTGCGTCCTCTTCTCTCTCCCTTCATGTGTCTGCAGGTGAACATTGCTCTGACGCTGCTCAGCCTGGTCACCTTCATCCATCCCCTCTCTGTCTTCCTGCACTGTCGAAGTCTCGCCTCCCAGCGAGCCATCAGTACCTCCTCTTAAAGTCTGTCAAATGGGACTTGCAGTTAAAATGTCTTTAATATCACCAGTGTCACTGTTACCTCTTCAGTTTGTTTGATTTATTAATAGTGCTCATATGTCTGTGTTGTGTTGCCGTATGTATCATCAAGCGCTGGTAAATACATTTCGGACTGTAGTGAAGTGTGGTTTCAGCTGCTGTCATAGAGCATTCCCCACACTCTCGGTTCATATTCACAGCCAAATTGAATTTTTCCATCATAATTAAGATCTTCTGGTGTGCAGTCTGCTGCTGTCGTAAGGTTACATAACACTTTACCTCTTTTTTGAAATTTCCACGATACTTCATTTTTCTTTTCACTGATGCATTGATCAACTTATTTTACAGCCTTCTACAGCTGGCTGCTTTACACAACAGTGACATATCCAATGTTCCTTGTTTTATGCAGTCTTATAATTTAACATATACTCTTGTATTATTTTATTCTGTGTAATACTAGCCACCTATAACACCATGGTTGGATTCAGAGTGCCACACTCTTCAGCACTTTGTGCTGAAGATGTTACAGATAACACCTATGTCAGTGTTGACCTAAGTTACCTCTATATCCTTTTTTTTTTTTGTTTTTTACCGTAACAGTAGAGTATAGGACCAATACGTTTTGTAGGAAAAGGCTAAATGTAGTAGAAGTGTAGGTGACGATTGTGAGTGATAATCACTGATATCAGGTAGATGACACAGCTCTGCCATCTGCTGGCCTCTCAGTTAATAGCTTCTGAAATCAGCATTGTGCCAAATATCAACCAACAGGAAATAGATATTGTTTTATGTTTCAGTTGTATCCAACATTTGAAGTCTCAGGTGCTCAGTGTGACTCAGTGTGGTGCGTGCTGCACCAAATGAAATGTATCTATTGATATGAACTTAAAATCCTTTGTGGTAAAGGGAATTCATTTTTAATATTTACTTTTGTCCAAATAAAAATTAGTGATCAACTATTGTGATATCCTTTTGCAGGCATTTGCCTAATTCATATGGTATAGAAAATGCAATTATAATCTGATGAGAAGTTATTTGAAAGAGACCAGAAATCAAACATAAATGGAATTACACCATATTGTATACCTCGACATACAATTCCATCCGAATGTTTTGCATTTTGATTAGAATGTTGTCGTCATGTTGTGTCACCAGCCTACACAACAAACGGAGTATGAAAGTCACAAACATTTACCAGGCAAATCAATAGATGTATAGAATATCAATGGATATTTTGGGACTTAAAGTCAGGATATTTCTGCTTCTGCTACACAGATTATTTATCCGTCTCTCGCAAGGGTAAAAGTGAAATAACAGGGACACAATAACATCCTTGCAAACTATGTGTGTGTATGTGTGTGTGTGCGCGTGTGTGTGTGTCACAGTGGAGCAACATAAATTGAGTTATGCAGGACAAAACAATTTTCCACCAGATGCAATGGATAATCCTTTGTAGAAAACAGAAGAGCTGAAATAGAATCTGTTTCACACTGCTGGAGACTATTGCAGCCACTTGGGTATATCAGAGAGCTCACTTGTATGAGGGAACTTAACTTGCCAATAAATCAAGGCTCTGGCATTAGCTGCTGTAATACTATTTTTGGATTATTTCACTTAAATTGTCCAACTTCTGAAGAGATAATAACAATAATAATAATAATGATTGTGAATTGTTTATGTCTGCTGGTGCTGCCATGCACACTGCTGGCAGTGAAGCAATCTTCTGCCAGCGGGAAGGAAGAAGCTCATTTCTGCCACTTTGGATTTAATCCAGTAAACAAACTATGAAAACCTACACAGGCAATGGATGTATTATTGATAAGCCCTTGGGGCAGCTATATTTATACTACTAGTGGATGAAGAAACGATAATTGATTATCACGCATTCTGAAAGCACATTGAAAGGTTTATTTTTTCACACCGGCATTATGTTTTTCAGGTTGTCTGTCCGTTGATTTTTGTGAATGCAATATCTCAGAAATGGAATTTCTTTATATTTAGCATAAATGTCCACCTGGACTCAAAGATGATTTGATTAGATTTTTGATTGTCACTGTACCCTCACAAAACCTAGTTTTGGCCATGACTCAAAAAGTGATATGCTAATTATGACAATTTCACACAGATGTCTAATAGGATCAAATGATGAAGGGATGACCTTTTGGACAGATTTGTACGTAAACTGCAACTTGATTGGTGCAGAGGCATACGACTACGAGGCAGTCACTCTAATTTAAAAGGGCAGTGCCGATTAATGAAGATAATGTCATGATGACACTATTAAAGAACACATACAGGCTAGAGAATAAAATCCATAAACATATCAATGTTTACACTGGTGAAACAACATCACACGTCAGAGCCATGATGTCCAAACCAACAACAATGAATTTATTGTCTATCGACAAATATTTACAGCCTGTGCATGCAAGTGATTGTCCCCTAACCAATACAAAGCCTGAATCAGTAATACATTACAACAATTAACCAGAAAGGATAAATAAAATACACAAAAATGACCAACAATAAATTAAAAAGCTATGAACACCTTTGTGGGTCAACCATTATAGGGTTCACAAATTAAACAACCTGCCACTTTAACAGCAGAATGAAACATCACTTAGGCAACAACACAGGGATGTATAAACAATATAAACTCCAAAGGAGATACACCCAACAAACATATGAAAGCAAACACCTAACAGTGCACACACACAACACTACATTTCTAGGCAGCACAGTGGTTGTAGACAGTTAACTGCACACAGTGAGAGGAAAGACAAATTACTCCTTGGCTTCCCATTTTGTAGAGCATATATTGATATGTTGACATGTTGATCACAGTTAAAATGTATTTTTCCTGATCCCATTGCTTAAGTAATCACTTCTATATTTTTAGAAAACAATGAACCCCCAAATGGCCATTCTCCACCATAATCAAAGGTAAACTGAAAAAAAGGCCATCTCTTACTTACAGGTCAGTAGCAAACAGATGCAATTGAGGCTTTATTCCTGAAAGATGGGAGAAAGAGTTTTGCAAAATAAAACTAGTTTGATACTAGTTATTACCCAGACCATCTCTGGTTGGTATGACAGTGACCAATGTTCATGTGAAACTGCCTTTCCTCTTTTAAATATATTATTTTATTATTTTAAACATATTAACATATTGACATTATACTAGATACCAAAATTAGGTTCCACAGATAGTAATACAAAATAAAATTCATAACATTCTTGTTTGAATATTTGACATTTTTCTATAAAATATTGATGCAGAGTTTAAGGTATGGGAAGTTCTTCTCATTTAAATTAAATTGTTCTTTAAGGTCCTCAAATGATCTAAATGAGCCATCTCTGTAGAGATCTTTGACAACATGTATTCCTTTTTTCCAGCCATGTATCCCATAGAAACACTTGTTTCCCTAAACAGATGAGAGGGTTATTCCAAATGGAGGAGTGGCTTTGTTTGTATTGAGAAATCCCCAGAATCTTGTGTGCCCATGCCCTGTCACTATATTCATAACACATGAACAACATTCTTAGGAACATAGGGAAATAGGAATTATAACATTGGAAATACCAACGTACTCTCCAGAATAAGTCTACACTCAATCCACATGGGATTTAACTGAGATGTACAGTGTCCTGTACAATAACCACCACTACACACACTGCTAGAATTGGACTGATTTTCACTTGTGACATTGGATTAATGAAAACAATACTATAAGCAAACGAAAACTCTACACAAAGGAATTTTAACATGTCGAATAGTGGCCTTACTGAGGTGAGCTGACTTCTTATCTTTGATTAATTGAGAAAGAGAAAAGCATTGGGGCAGGAGGAGAGGGAGGGACTTGGTGAGGCAGAGGGAGGAAGAGTTGGCTTATGTAAAGAAAGAGAGTGGAGCAAGAGCACAGAGGTGTGGTTTGTGAGAACATTTGGGGAGACCCACAGAGGCTGAACTGTGAGTACTAGAGAGTAGTAGGCTGGAGAATAATACAATTTAACAAGTGTGCATTTTTTGGTGGCTTCACAGGAGGTTACTTTGTTAAAAAGCCATGTTTGCATGTCATTTTAATTTATTCTTATTGTTGTTAAAATTGAATTTTTATGATCTAACAGACCTTGATGAAGTTTTTCTAATCTGAAAATCATCTGAATTTATGCAGAACTCCATATTTTTTTGGAAAAGACGACCTAACTGCCTGAACTCAAGCAGCATGTTTGTCTTGCTTGTTAAGAATTTATATTTAAGTGATTTCAATGTGTCATGCAGATTTTATATGAAAATTACATTGCTTTAAAAAGGTGCATAATATCATTTATTTTCTTTGTTTGGCTCGTGGAGTTGTGTGAGGAACCATGCCGTGTCTTGTGAGCAGCTTGCCAGTGCGTCGCTACCTCACCTTATTTACGGGTCTGGTGGAGTGTCTGTGTTTTGCCGGAACCATATTCGGATGGCCTTCCCTTGTTTTTGTCCTGAAGACGAAGGGCTACTTCAGCTCTCACTGCACCAACACCACAGGAGTCAATTCAACACAGGTCTTAGGTCAGTTTCAAATACAACAAGGGGGCTGAAGGGGCTGCATAAAGAGTTGAAATTGATTAAAACTCGCATAATCAAAACTTCTATGCGGGGCTCTCTGAACTTCATTGTCATCTTTGATCTAAAAGATGTCAATGAACGTCCATATCAAGAGTTGTATTTGACAACAACTCTTAATGCAGGCCTCACGTCACATGTTCATGTATATATTTCATCATCTTGGCTCTCTTGTCCTCTATGTTTGATGTGTCTACAGATTGCAGTGGACAGGACGAACAGTTCTCTCTTGTTTTCACCATCGCTGCCTTTCTATTCAATTTCCTGATTCTGCCAAATGGTTTCCTCTTTGACCAGTTTGGTACTACAGTGGCACGACTCTTTGGAATGTGAGTCCAAAAACACTTTAATTAAGAGTCAATGGATTTAAAATTATGGATGTATCGATACCACTTTATATTAGAGCAAGTACATTTGGTTGCATTTGAGTACTTGCCAATACGAGTAGCTATATGAGTACTGTATGGGTTTAGTTTCATGAGATGTTCCTCACTTCAACAAATTAAATACATGCTGTTGCTGACATTTTAACATTCAACTTTCTGTTTTCCTGATACAAACAGACCATAGTTTGCAGTAGTAGTAGTAGTAGTAGTAGTTAAAGATGTATTGTGCTATCGTTTAAACAGTTAAAATAAATAGAAAATAAAATAAAAGCTGGTTCCAAAAACAAACTGACAGGGAATACGAGCAACAAACGCAGACAACCTGACGACTGAAGAAGGGAGAGCATGCAGATGAAATACACAAGGAGAGCAGGGTGATGAGACAATCATGTAGGATTTTTCCAATTGATGCTGTTTACTGTCAACCTGGAAGTGATGGCGGTGTTATGATATGACACTAATTTTATAAGGTTACGAAACAGTGATGCATAACACAACCAATAAAATAAAAACATAAATAATCGTTCAAATCAAGAAAGCTTGTTAACTAGATATTTAACACCAAGAAACAAAAAAGTACAGAAACCTGTTTGTGTTGTCAATGGGTTGCTCTCTGAAAATTTACATTTTTAAAGCTAAAAAAACCCCGGCTCTTTTTAATAAGCCAATCACATAGTCATCACAGATGGGTTTCTGTCCTCTTTATCTTCCTGCGTGACGATAAAGACTCTCTCTGGCCATCGTTGATAATTTAATGCTACAGTGCAAAGAGGCAATATCTATCATGTCATATGACAATACACATTCTCATTGGTTGATCCAGATACATCAACAAAAGCAGGACTAACGACAAAGCCTATGTTTCCACTAAACAAGGGTGGAGGTAAAATAAATATGAAGCCAAGTGCACAGAGTGGAGATGAGGATAGATCTAGTGTAGTTTAGTTTAGAAGTGTGTTTATTGGGATATTATTGTATCAAATGTCCCTTTTCTTGATTGCTGAGAGTGGATTGATTTGTATTCATTTTAAGACCAATTTTTCCGTCTCAAATAATGTTTTTGTAAAACCTTGAAAACATCACTTCACTCTCATATCAATGAAATGACATGTTATCACTGGGATTTATTTTTCCCACCAGATTTATTTACACCACGGGGAACTTGATGGTGGCCTTCTCGACTGAAGGTGAAGAACATTTCTCCATCTCTTTGAGTTGCGGTCTCTCGTGAACCTCATTGTCTAAAGAAACACTGACAAGAAGTAACAGGGACTGTAACAACTGTCAATGCACGTGTTTTCTTTTCCTATCAGCTTTGTCCAGCCTGTTGTTCCCAGGTCTCTCCCTCATGGCAGCAGGGGGCAACTTATTTCTGTTGACCAACATGCAGGTACTGTAGCAGATTAATACGATTATTGTCAGTTTTGATTAATCTCTCAACTATTTTTGTGATTATTATTTTGTAAAAGTTGACATATTCAAATTGCTTTTTTTGTTTGAAACTCCAAAGAAATTCAATTTATCATGATATAAAACAATTAACAGCAACAAATCCTGGAGAAGCTGGATCCCAAAAAAATGTTGCATTTTTGCCAATAAAAACTTTATCTAACTGATGAATTGAATCGAACCAAAATGTTATTTTGTTTTTGGATTTATTAGAATGTTTCAGAATCAGTGGTTGATATTTGCTCTTAATTGTAATTTCAAGTTTTGTGACACATTTTTTGTTTTTTTTACTATTTCTGGATGCCTGCATGTTGTCAGTCAAGTTTCACCTAACCGAAGAGAAGAAAAGACACATGAAGGACCACTAACTTTAAAACATACTATGACATATTTTTGAGGAAAGCTGACACTGAGAAACACAGTTGCAAAAGCTTTTTTCGAAAGCGACAGAGGGTCTGCCCATGACTCACTTTTGTTTAAATTGTGGTGAAAAAAAATCACAAAACCCTAAACTGTGATGTTTAATGACTTTGGATGGTGTAGCTGTGAGTCCAAAATTGCATCCTCATATTCAAACAGGTAATTCATATCAGCAAGAACTAATTTGACACTGAAGTTCAGAAAAGTAAATGCAAAAAAAATAGGAAGGCCCCACAGAGACGTAGACACTCAAACGCAACATTCATCTGTTTAAACCATTTAAAATTTCTCTCTCAAAGGTTGGAAATATGTTTGGCTCACATCGCTCCACCGTCATCACTCTCTACAATGGGGCTATTGGCTCTTCATCGGCAATCTTATTTGTCATCAAGGTGAGAAACATTCACACACTGCTCTTATATATGAAATGTATTTATACTATTGTGTCTCATGATGTCTTCTCCTGCAGTTGTTATTCGAGGCTGGCATCTCTCTCCTTTCCTCTTTCCTCTTCCTGTCCGCCTGCAGCATCATTCACCTCCTCAGGACTTTCCTCCTGCTGCCCAGAGATCACATTCCCTACCCAATGCCTGATGACTACACATACGGGTACAAATCACCAACAAACCACACACACATCAACACCTCACACAGGGGCACATCAAGTGTAAATGGGGCTTGTTATTTTCTCTTGTTAAAAAAAAACAAAAAACATGAATTTATCTGTTTGTTTCAAATATTGAAAAAAAAAAGTATTAAACATTGAATTGAAACAATACAACAAAAATATATAATATACAACAATGCAAAAATATTAAGTTTTACATATGACATTTTATTGCAACTACAGACTTGGCTTACTTGGTAAATGATGAAAGGATTTACATTTATAAAGTACCTTTTTAGTCTTCCGAACACTCAAGTGAAGTTGTAGCGGGTTATGACCTGAAAAATGAATTTGTAATGTAAATCATATCAAAGAACTCCCCCAATGCCCTCAGTCTGTGGCTGCCTCACTGTGACTTTTGACCTTTGTCAGGATAACCTGTGGTAAATCAAAGACTCTGAGCCTAGAGCAGTTAACTAGAAATGCACAGATGACGACAGAGCAAGTCGAGGACATCGCTGTGAAACAAGGTTTGTTCACTTTACTGTGGCATGGATTGATAAGATCCAACAGAATAAAATAATCATACAATCTATTTCTCTTCATCTTTGTTCTTTCCTTTTCTTCATCCATCTCCGTGTTCTCCCCTCGTCTCACCCAGAGAAGAGTTTCCGTGAGTGTTTGATGTCCAGGTTCTTTGTGTTGCACGTTCTTTGGTTGTCAGTGATACAGATCAGACATTTCTTCTTCATCGGCACCCTCAACCCCATGCTGCAGCGGCTGACGGCGGGGGAGCCTTCACTGGGTAAACACACTACATCATGTCTGCCTGTCTCAGCAAAGATGGACGTTTCTTATTAGCGCCATGAAGTTGCATGGATACTGACCAGTTACCCTGTGCTTCAACTAAGAGGACGGGACTGAGGTAATATTGTATAAGCAAGAAGCTGCTTTAGAAGATAGAAAGAGCTACTAGCAGAGCGCTATAGAGGTCAACATGGAGGTGAACATGGTGAAGCCTTTTTTCCAACACAGAAACATGAACCTTTCAAACAATTGCGTTGTCAAGACTGTGGACA